AAAATATCCCATACTGATATTTCATTAAAAATTATTCCATTAAAATCCTGATAATTAGTAAAATTGGGAAGTCTCTAAAACCAATGAAACCATCAACATTTCTTTGAAAAAAAAATAAAGGCTCTCTGTTGTGTTTTAATAAATAAAAATAAATTATATCTACATTTAAATAATTTTAGTCTATCCCCATTTAAAAATAACTATTTATACTCACAATGTTTAATATCTGAGGAAACATTGTGAGGAGGAAAATAACATGCATGTATAATTTATAATGTTGCTTTCCTCTCTTTCCATTACAGAAGCTTTAGAAAATTGCTTTTTGATGATTTGGCAAATTGTATTTATTTTAAAATGAATCTCACTTATTGAGATTGATAATTCCAGGTTTCATTTACTTCGAAATTGCATTTTCCAATTGCTCCCAATGATAAGTTCTGGCAAAATGTGGTCCAACATGTTAGTGAAAAATGTGGTCCAACATGCCAATGAAAAAGATTAAAAATAAAAATCAGTTGACATACTAGATAAAGGTAGCAATTATATTTTATACTAAGGTGAATATTTAAATAAACATGAAAGTATTTGCATAAATCTTCCATTTGAGATATCTTTAAAAATCTTGATCACTGTCCCAATCTATGATTTCTTTCATCATAGATGGTGTATTAGAAAATAAGCCACTAATGTTTCTTCAGAAAATTCTTATTCAGGTATCAAGTAACTTGAAACAAGTGAACAAAACCAGTCTGATTCATTAGGCAGTACTACAGTGGAAAGAGGACCTTGAGGTACAGAGCAGTCCCTATGATTTCTGAATCATCAGAGCACCATCACATTATCCTCAGTATTTATGGGCATTTAAATGAAAACTACCTGGAGTTTCATGGGGAAGGTAGCAGTTCTAGAAAAGCTACTGAGGATGAGACAGGTGCTCAAAGGCTGATGAATATGAACCACCCACTGGTGGTAAGAGTCTGCTTAAAATTCAGATGTCCATTGGTAACAAAAATGTTTTACCTGTGGTGTTTAAAAAAAATAAATGAAAACTAAATCTGTCAACTAGACAGATCTAATATTGCAACTGCAATATCAAGCAACACTTGGTCAATCAAAACACTGAAATAGTGATAGCAGAGAGAAGGAAAACCCCCTAGATTTTAAGATAAGCATTCCTGATTCTTTTAAGGCAAGTACATTAGCCCCTGTACTATCCTGTCCAGCTTGAACCCCTGATTCTTGAGGTGGTTAATAAAGTGAACTGAAAAGCTTCTAAAATGAACAAAAAAGGTTTATGGTAAAGGCCTTTTAAACAGCCTTTTACTCAAAAAAAAATACAAAGTTGATTTAAATTAATTCCAAAATACCATACACAGAAAGCTTCACTCCCTCCAGAATGCTGTAGGATTCCAACTTATTAAGAGAGAGGTAATTTTTCATGAAAAGACTCTATAGTTCAAGACTGACTGAAACTATTTTTTATTTTCTTACTTTTAAAAAATTCGAATTTATTACTTGGCAACTAGAAAATTGTCTCTCATTCTATTTTCTATCACAAATCCAGGTTAAAGACTTTTGTAAAGCTATAGTCTAAGAATACAAATCTGCTCTCTTATTTTCTTTCTTTTGGATTATTACTCATTATTCTTAAGTTAAATCTGTTGACATACAGGGTTAACTACTCTATGGCATGGCAAAGATGCTGTAGAAAGTAACATTCTTATCTAATACAGAACTCTCATTTCCATACTGTGAAGCTCAGAAAACATTTCTAAACTGATATTTCCAGAAACGGTTAAAATCTGAGGAGAAAAATAAAGTTCTATCAATCATGGACTGTAATATACACTCTGCCATTCAACTAGCCAGGTAAAACTATTCCTTACTAATAAATTTTGGTCACAAACTGATCTTACTCTAGAATGGAAGAACAGGAAATGACTTTTCCTTAAGTACCTCCAAGCAAGTATTTCACTTTTTAAATACAAATTTTAGGCATATAAGCACTAAATATAAAGGAAAAATATAAATACAACTTTCTCCAAAAAAGTGATATTTGGGGTTATTTTGCTTAAAACAAAATACAAGGCAGTAGGTTATAACACACTTTATCAATGCACACAAAGAAATCCAAGCGCAAAATTAAACATAAAAGATGTATTGTCCTTTTCGGTTCTTAACACATACAGCTCTCAAACAGCAAATTCCTGGTCACTTTTTTTAAAGTGAGTAGATTAAAAACAAGATTAACAAAATGTTCAAAGCATGTCAAATTATGCTTCTACTAGTTTAAAATTCTGTTGGTTGTAAAACTCTGTTGGTGGCCATTTTGGCCCAGGATTTTTAATATAAATGAGGCCAGAAATGACAGCGAATGGGGGGAAGGGAGTTTCCTTCTTGAATAGCTAAAGAGGGAAAATTATTATCTAGAATGAATGACCTAAAAGATGAAAAAACATTCAAATCAAATTTTACCAAAAATCTGAAAAGACAATCAGAATTAAAATGCAGGAACAGTGTTATATTAGTCAAAACTTAAACTTATGTTTTTATTAATGTAGTGAGGCCTAGTCAAGTTTGGGTAAGAAGCTGTTCTTTTCAGATACAATTGCTAAGGTTTTATTTTACCTCAATAAAGTTGAAATAGCAAAATTTTAATTTTCTTCTTATTTCAGAACAGTTTTTAGGAATTTTTGATTTGAATATTTCCAGGTCTACATACCAATCTTCCCCGACCTTTCTAAATTGCATGGAGAAATGATATTTGGTTTAACCAAAAGACTTAAGAAAAAAAAATCCCAAAAACCCCAAGAAGAAAACTGATTTATGCATAGATTTGAAACTGAACATTTCAAGTTGCTTTGCTTGATAAACGAGTTTCTAGTCTGGATGATTGGGAGGTGGATAAAAGCAACTCGAAGAGTTCACAAATGTTAAAATTCTCAACATAGATGCATATTAACCAGTTTACTACTCCCATGCATGGGTCATTTTGGTAAGAAATGGATAGTTTTTGGTTAGAAAAACAATCAATGTTTAAGTGGGGAAATTTCCAGAGTTTTTGTAAGCCTGGGAGCAGTCTAGAGTCGCTGCATTACTTTGTCACCGCTCTGCCTGACACTGTTCTCATGTGCGAGGGCTACTCTGAGTCAATAGATGGCAGTCCACTGCCTGGAAAAGAGCCGCAGATGACTGAACTCGCCAGGCGTCCTCCTTTAATTAAAAATGAAATATTGCGCACAATGGTTTGGATTTTACCTTGATACATAATTGTTTATTTTATGTTAGATGGACTGATGCCTATGCCTACTTGCTAATAAATACAGCAGCTTTGCATTTATCCTTATACAATAAACTTTTGATTAATAATTCTTAATTTAAACTTGATAATTATAAATTGTGACAGTGACTGCAAGGGTTTTTTTTTTTTTAAGAATTAATTAGGATTCCAGATTTGTGACAAATGGATTTTTCAAAACAACTTTGTTATTAAAAAATACCTATATATCCTCAAAAGGCAAATAAATTCATTTTATTCATGTAGAATTTTTATAATTTCTTCTTTTTCAAATTATAATAAGCAGACTTCAAGTATTTCTGCTCCAATAAGTTCTGGTTTCTGCCTTTCTATGAGTTATATATGAACACAGGTACAAGAGAAAAGAGTTGTTTTTAAATAGAACTTCCCACATTTCAAGTTTTCTAAGATTGAAATTCTTTAACTTAAGGAGAAAAAAGAAAAGAAAAGAAGTGCTATTAGTTTGTTACTTAATAAAAATGCTGATTAAAAACTGCTATGCAGTTAGAGTGGTTGTTCTTAAGAACCATGGGACTGAACTTAATCAAGTTTAAGCTAATAAAGATTTCAATACGATGTTATAATAAAAATATACAAATGCAAAACTATGAGTTAAGCTTCTAATATATGTCATGTATATCTGTGTTAACATGGGTATGTCACAAAAGATGTCACAAAACCCAATGAGACTTGAGGGATAGTTGAGAAACTGCAGCTTTCTATTGAGAATCTTAAGTGAAATGTGTGGAAACAAATCATTTATTATACCTTGCATCGTGGGCCTATATTTTAAGTCTGAGTCTAGTTGGTCATCTTATTTCTGTAAGAGGAGGGCTATAAGAAGACAGGTTTTATAGGAATGTTGTCCTATTTTTAACTAGCTGTCTTCCTATAAAACTTTTTAGTACGTTAAACCTTAAGAAACAGAAACATTTTCATTACAAAGTGTAACTATATAGTTTAGAGTAATTTTTGCTATCTTTTGCTTAGTTAATATATTCTAATATATTAAAAGTAATAACTAGTAAGAATAAAAAGAATTAAAAATTATTTAGGTATTTAACTGTTTTCATTATATTGGGCATGAACCAGCTGATTCCATATCAGACCAAGTTTTTTTCTTTTACTCAGCCTAAAGTCACAATAAAATGAGAAGAACTGAAAAAACTAGGTAGTACTAAGCAGGTACCTGGAGTACATCAAGAGGAACATTAAGGATGTGAGGGTTTAACTGTTTTATATAAGATATAAAAGACAAGGTTTTGCTAGCATAAAAAAATATAAAAATTTCTGAAAAGCCTGAAAAATGATTCTGAGAGATATTATGGATTGCATGCTTGTGGACTGTAAATAATAAATTTTTTTTAAAAAACCCCACTGGATCACAATTATTTTTATGGTTCCAAGAGTATTTTTTACTATATGAATTAAGTCTAGGCAGATTGAGAGCTACTCTGATATAATCATTAATAATGTGAGCAATAAAAAAAGAATAAAAATCTTTTAAAAACAGGCAAATAAAGAGCAAGAGAGTGGGCAGGGAAGAAGAGAAAAAGTGTATTATTGCTTTCTCAGTGCAAAAACTCTTCAGATGTTTATTATCTTCCAGAAGAAGATGCCTGTCTATATTTTATGGTCAGCAGTTCAGAGAAGGGTAAATAGGCTTGGTCTTGGGGAAAATAAAAAAGGTGTTTCTACTCACCGTTAGGTGATACTGCCTCCAGATTTCTGGGCAAGC